GCCTCCTAGGCAGAGTTTGCTGCCGTTTGCTCCCGCTAAGCTTTTAATTAATTAGCTTTCATTAAGCTGTTTGGTAAATTAGCCGTCATTCAAATCAAACAACTTAAGCCTGGGGGATGATATGTGGTGGGATCAAGATGAACAGGAACCTTCCGGAGAATGCAGGCTTTTCCCGAGAATGCAGGCCTGCCCTTCCTTTTCATAAAAATGTGTGCCGTACCTTTAAATGATCAATTCATTAATCGATTGCACTTGGCCCCTAAACAATTCACCCAAATTGAATCGGATGCTAATTTTTGTGTGTTTCTAAGGAAGAATTGGGTAACTGGGGCATGTCTTAATGTGACAAAGGTGACTTTATTAGGTTGTCAGCAGAACTGTTTGGCTAGACTTAAATAGTGCAAATTAAGCCGACAGCTCTGTCAAGACTAATGAATTAAGAGCTCAGCAGTTGGAAAAACCAGCACGCCTTCCCGCTCTGGGGAGTGCAGCTTTTCCATCTCTGAGTTGTAGGATAATTGTCTGAATGCAGAGTTTTTTTTACTTGGTAAGTTCACTGTCAATTTGAAGTTTTATTTTTTCTTTTCACACCTCCGATTACAAGAAACTTCTTGTCAACCGTCCCTGGGACGTGTGAAAATTGTTCGAGACGGTGGCGTGTTGGAAAGACCCCCTTCGCCAAGTCGTGGTTAAACCTGGGGCCCAACTCATCAGACGCCGTCGCGTGGAATATCCCGTCCAATTAGGATTCTTGAATCGAAATGTCTGTGTAATTTCCATGGCAACACTGCCTTAAATGAATGCGACTTTGATGGAAACATCCTCGTTTAAGAATGTTTATCTTAGTCAAGAAATGGGTCCGTTGATGATATTTCAATAGCTGTGTCTGAAGCCTCCCCGTTAATAAAAACGTATGTGTTTCTGCAGCAGACGATCGTTTATAGAACTCGTGATTAATGGACTCTACATTTTTTTTTTTTTAATTGGTTATCAGTTTTTATGCAAAATGAATCCATTTGAGTTTGACGTGGTAACCTTTCTCCCTGTCACTTTGTGATATGAATTTGCACTGAGGGGATAATGGTTCTGACTGTTATATTATGGTCCTGTCAAAGTATTTCTGTTCGGAGGAACAAAAAACAGTCTCCGTTTGGTCATCTCATTACGGTGTTTTGTCACCTACATTTGTCATCCTGAAAATACGAAAATGCCACAGGTGGCTTATCAGTCTAGGCCATGGATTGACCATAATTTTGTTAGTTCGGGTCCCAGGAGCCTTTAAAATGAATGCAGCAGTTGTTTTGAGTGCTTTTTGAATGTCCCCGGGGGGGGGGGGGGTTAGGGTTAGAAGGCTGTATCTGTACCATGTGGCCATCCTGATGAACTAGATGGGGGGTTAAACTTGTGTGTTTTCACAAATGCTGGGGGCTTAATCTAAGTTGTTCGCCACGTTTCCAAATGTCACAATGGCCCCCCCATTTGCCAGGATTCACGTCACACCTGTTCGTCCTCCCAGACATTCAGTGGGAGCGCCCTAATTTTGCGCAATACTGTAAAATTCCATATGGGGGCCGTCATCTGAATATTAACATTTTAACTGTGTAGCAGACAGTTTTATCCAAAGTGATTTGTTTGTTTTGTTTGTTTTGAGGAAGTCGGGGTCAGACAGTCCCCGGAGCAATTGCCGGTTAAGGGCCTCGTTCAGGGGCCCAACAGTGACATCACTCTGCCAACCCTGGGATTGGAACCGGTGACCTTCCGGTGACAGCATTCTAACCCTCCTAGCCGTATTTTAAATGTAAATGAAGGATTAAATCTAGACTTGGGGCCAGGTTACCCGGGTTAACTTGCGCTTCCATCTGTCCATCAGTCGATCAATTTCACACACGCGTGATTAATTAAGATAACTTGCAGGAAGGAAGACCGGCGCTCAAATAGACTTAACTTGTACTCCTGCATTGGTTGCAGTGAGCAAACACCCAGCCCTACACCCCTCCCAAGGTCATAAAGGATGGAATTTCCATACTCTTGCCTAATTTGTGGTTGAAAGTTCGGGAGGTTTAACTTATCCTGGATGCTTGGATCTTGGTGCTGCTGTATTTCATTAATCCCGAGTCCGCTTGTCAGAGAGCTCCTTCCATTTCCCCAGGAAAGATGTGTGTTTTTATGCTCATCTATTTATTGGAGAAGACGACTGAAATTAACCCACTGCTTCAGCTATTCATTATTTTCTATTACCTTCCAGTAGATGAAAATCTCTTCTCCTCTGATCCAGTCAATACGCCCCTTTGCACTGACATAATTACGACGTGATGGGATAGAGCTTTAATCCTGTTATGTTGCCCCCCCACCACCAGCAGCAGCACCAGCATCCCCAGTTATCAATGGAAATTAAAGCGTTGTTGTTTTGTTTTTGTTTTTTTAATAATGTTCCCGACACGTCCCATGTCACGGATAAACGGCAGGATGGGAACACTGTGGCTTATTGGCATGAGGCTGCGAGTCATACCTGAATTTGTCTGTCTGTCTGTCTGTCTCTGTCTGTCTGTCTGTCTGTCTGTCTGTCTGTCTGTCTCTGTCTGTCTGTCTGTCTGT